ATATCTTTTATTAATTTTTTAAATGTATAAATTTTTCGAAAGACTTAACCTAATTATATAAATTTTGAGTTATACAAATTTTATAATTAATTTTATATAACATTTTAATGAACATATGAAAGTGTTTTTTGGCCGAAAAAATATAAAAGTGTAGAGTTTAATTTTTCTAATCGAAAAAGTTGATGGATTTTAATTTTAATGGATTGGCATATGTTCAAACAAAACATAAATACCCAATTCGAACAAAATAAACTACTTAGAGTCTTAGACATAATTTAAAATAGAAAAATATCATAAAAGACCTACAACTTAATTTTTCCTTCAACAAATTCACTATAATATATTCAAACTACTTTATTTAATCTTATGTATAAATCATGTTTAATTACATCATCATAGTCAAGGAGATGTACTATCTTTAAAAATATTTTCTCAGTGATATAAAATCTTTTATTCTATTCATGAAAAATGAAAGAGTTATATTAAAAAATAACTTTTGGGAAAAAAAGATTAAAAAAATAACTAATGTTAAAATATTTGTCTTTTGTTATGAAATTAACCAATTAAAAAAATGAGACATATGGAGAAGAAATAGAGATGAGAGAATGAAATTTTTTTTTATAAAATATTATATTTTATAATACAAATAACATATTTTTTATAGGTATAATGTTATATTAAGGATTATATGAATGATAATAATAAATAAAGAATAATTAACACTTATTATAATGGAAGTTTTACGTGGGAAGATGAAGAGGTGAAGAAAATGAACCCTCTTTTAATATTCATAATATCTTTAATTATTTTTAAGGTTATTCATGTAAAAGTGTCCTCAGAGTATACACTTGGCTGATCTAACTGCCCGCCTAGCATTCTCTGGATATGCAATTACTAGTTACAATTTCCTTTGTTCATGTCATGTTAATTTTCACAGAGGCATTTAACCAAGGAAGAATGACATTTAAGATATTAATAAAAGTTTATAAATTTGTCTTATAAAAACATAAATATTGAGGTTTAACTTTTAACAATAATATTGCAGCTTTTAACAATAAAATATTTGTATTTTTACAGTACAATAACTTATACATACGAGTAATTATTTTTAAGGTATTCCCTCGTCCCAATTTAGTTGTCATTTATAAGAAAATTTTTGATGAAATTATGCATACGAGTAATTATTTTTAAGGTAATTTTATTTCCGCAGGGGTCACATCAAAATTAATTGAAAACCAAGTTCTTAGAATTATTACATTTGACCGTTCTTAATTATCGTTTAAGTATTTCAACAATAGTTTTTTGTCATTCTCACTCAAGATTAATTGGATCTTTTCATTCCCATAATGAATGAAGCACGTTTCTTCAATCAGGAGTGCCATTCAAAATTGAACCTTACCCAAAGCAACGTGATCGGTCCCAGGAATGAATTATCGTCCTGCCTTTTCTTTTAACCACAAATTATTGTCCTATTTTTCGTCAAGTTCAAACTCCCCAGAATATCTCTTCACCTTTTTTTTATTCATATAATTTAACTCTTCAGTACATTTGAATAAAGGAAGAATGATAGATGAATCTTAAGAGAATCAAATAATTTAAATTAAGCTCGAATATTAAAATTTTAAAATTTACAAGTTCATCTTTTAATTTTATAATTTTATTGTAATAAATTTATAATATATTTTTTAAATTTTAATACCATTGAAGGATAAATAAATTTATTTTTTATTAAAATTTAGAATATAAGTTATAAAATTCATAATAATGAAGTTACAAAATTAAAAGTTAAGCTTATAAATTCTTGAAGCTTGGCATTTACAATCTACTTTAAATTAATTGATCCCTTATAACCTATCTGTCATTCCACTCTTGAAGAAATATGTGTGAAAAAAAAAATATTTTGCTACGAAAAAAACCATGCTCTAAATACAATCTCACTCTTTCCAATTACTTTTTTTAACAAAAATAAACATATATCAATAAATTTAAAAATATCATTGTATTAATATGGAAGATTAAGTTATAACTTGGGCAACAACCTTAAAAAATTGTTAATGATAATATTTTATAAAAAAGTACCCCTCAATGCCAAATTATAAAATAATTTAAAACAACATTACACATATCTGTAAAACGTAACAATGATATTTTATAAACTTATTTTCAAAACAAAAATACTTTCTCCGTCCACAGTTATAAAATAGTCTGAGAAAATATTATTTGTATCAATAAATTATAATAACGATACTTTAGCAACTTATTTCTTCAAAATAAAACTGTAAACTCTTAACAATATCCTTATACTGTTAATCGTTACAATATTACTTCAAATCTTTCTCTACTCAAGGGTAATGCTAAAAAAATTATTATTAATAAAATTTTATTTTTTTAAATTGCCTCATATTTTTGATAATTTTTTTTTTAACATTGTCTTATAATTTAAATTGAAGAGAGTATAAACTTTTAAAAATATTATTCATTTAATGAAATTTTAAAAGTAAAATTATTTCAATTCTCTATTCTGTTGTAGAATAATATTTAAAAAATATCATTAATAAAATTTTATTTTTATTTAAATTATTTTATATTTAAAATAACAAAATTTCTCCAACATTGCCATATAATTTGAGATGAGAAGCACCCCTTTCTTTAAAAATTTTATATTAAAATATAAAATATTTTTAATATTTTAAAATATAATTATTATGTTTTTTTAAAAAGTACTCATAATAAATAAATTATTTTATATTAATTTTAAAATAAAATATTTTTAAAATAGAGATAAATTAAAAAAGTTAATATAATTTAAAGTTATGTAATTATTTTATTAAAAATGAGATTACGTTAAAATCCCTTTACAATCATTTCCACGCCTTTTATTTATTTTCTTTTCCCTTGCCTTTTTTTTTTGTGGCCCAATTTTCCGCAATGAGACCGTGCATAGCACAGATGGTCAGAGACTGCGTCATATGACAAATCTACCATTTCACGTCCAGCGTCTTGTCACCGTCCAAGCAACTAAGCATTCAAGTATTTAGTCGCAGCGCCAAATCTAAATATGATTTTATTTTATACTTTTAACAATTTTTTATTTTCCAGTCTGAGCGTAAGTGGTCCTTCCTCTGTACACACACTGAAAACGTATCTGCCAGGATCTATGATAAATCAACCTGGATTCCTCTCATTATTAAAATAAAATAAAATAAAATAAAATAATTAGATCTCATCACAGCAATTAGTACTAAAGCACACCTGATTTGCCAATAACCATGGTTTGGCTTGGCAGGAGGGGCGGGAAAGAAAGATTGTAATGAATTCAATTTTAAAAAATTGGATAATTATTCAACTTAAAGATCTTTGATAAAAAAACATGGATGAGCAAAGGGGAAGAAAAAATTAATTACAGAATTTTAACTTCAGTTAACCACGAGTTGAATAATGTAAAACTTACTTAAATAACAAGTTTATTTATGAATTTAACAAAGGAATAATTAATTTGTGGTTATTTATAATTTTTTTAATTTCAATGAAGTCTTTACAGTTTATTTTTATTCGAGGTTGATCCATTATATGTTAACTCTTGAATGTTAAAAGTATTAATGAATGATTATTTTTCTCAAAATAAAAAGCTTTTAAAATTTTTAAAAAATTTAAGTTAATACTTTTGGTCAAAAAATAAAAAATTATTTAATACAATATTTACATTTTTTATTAACTTTATATATATGTACTATATATTTATTCAAAAGACATAATCTAATTATGTAAATTTTGTAATTAATTTTATATAATATTTTAATGAACATGTGAAAGTGTTTTTTTTTTCCAAAAAGGTGTTTGATTCTTTTTTTTTTTTTATCGAAAAAGTCGAAGGATTTTAATTTTGATGGATTACCATATCTAATAAGACAAATTATGAATATTCAATTCAAACAAAATAAACTACTTAAACATAATTTAAAATACAAAAAAATCATAAATACCTACAAATTAATTTTTTCTTTAACAAATTCACTATAATATATTCAACTATTATATCTAATTTTACATACAAGTCATATTTTATTATATCATTATAGTAGAGAAGATATATTATCTTTAAAAATTTTTCTCAATCATATATAATCTTCTATTCTATTTATACAAAATCAGAGAGTTAACTTAAAAAATAAACATTTGACCGAAAACAAATTAAAAATAACTAATGATATGTTTTTTGCAAAAGAATTTCAATTTTTTATACAAAGAAATTTATATATAGCACAAGATAAAATATTTGTCTTTTGTTATGAAAATAACCAATTAGAAAATAAGATATACTCCCTCTGTTTAAAATATAAGACATTTTTAACTGAATCTTAACCCCCATTAAAGTTATTACCTACTTTCAAACTAACCATATTTTTTCATATTTATCCCTATTAAATACCCTACAACAAATATAAAATTATTATTAATAGGGACATTTTTGAAAAAAAGGCAATGATTACACCTTAAAAGATTAAAAATGCTTTATATTTTTAAACATTAATTTTTTAAAAAATATTTTATATTTTTGAACGGGAAATATATGGAGAAGAAATGGAGATAAAAGAATGAGAAAATTTTCTTTGGATTATTATCTTTTACAATATAAATAACAAGCTCAATTTACATACCTGATTTTATATTAAGAGTTATGCAAATGATCATAATAAATAAAAAATAATTAACACTTATTATATTGAAAGTTTCGCTGGAGAAGATGAAGGGGTGAAGGAAATGATAAACACTTTTATATTCATTACGTCTTTAATGATTTTTAAGGTTATTATTATAAAAGTGACCCTCTCCGGGAATGCCTTGGGTAATCTCACTAACCGGTTTGGATTCTCTGGATTTGCAATTACAAGTTATGACTTCGTCGTTCATGCCATGCCATGTCATTTTAATTTCCACAACATGTGTTCAGGCTTTTAACTAGAGCAACGTGATCCCCACACGGATTACTTATGGTGCCCTCTCTCTTCATTATTATCTCGACCAAGGGTACTCCCTGTCTCCCTCGTCCCAATTTAATTACCAATTTTCCCTTTTTTTTCCCAGTGAAATTCATTCAAATGGCGAAACGGAGGCAAAGCCTCACAGCAGAGGTTCAACAGTAGAAGTAACAGCTAAAAAATTAATTTTTAATGTTATTTTACAAATACTTAACGTTTCAGTAATGTACAACATTATCTTTCACTGCCTCTGCAATCCTTCAGAGCAAGCCCACCTGCAACGTCTTCTCTGCTGTTCAACTTTCCGAGCGTTCTCACTGTTTTGAGCAATATCACTCATTTCCAGAGTGATCATGGCCGATGCACTTCTTTCTGCTGTCTTCAATGTGCTTCTGGAGAGGTTAACCCCTCACCAAGTTGACTTGATAAACTTGATTTGTGGAAAGAAGCTCGACCACAAGCTCCTTCAACGTTTGAAGCCATCCCTGATTGCTGCAAGAGCCGTGCTCAATGATGCTGAACTCAAACAACTCACCGATCCTGCTGTCAAAGACTGGCTTGATGAACTCAAAGATGCTGCTTATGACCTGGAAGACTTGATGGATGAGATTTCCACACGAGCTGCCACTCAGAAAAAGGTGCCCTTTTTCTCCTTTGCTTCTCTTAGTTTGCGTGATACGAGCCTGGCAAATAAGTTAGAGGATATGACTGATAGAATTGAAAGTATTGTGGGAAAGAAAGATGCCCTTGATTTGAAGAAGACAAGTGGAAAAGAAAAGACAAGTGGAAAAGAAACTTTGTCATGGAGGCCTCCAGTTACGTCGCATGTGAATGTCTCTGATGTTTATGGAAGAGAGAAAGAAAAACAAGATATCATTAAGCTTATGTTCAATAATGATGACGGTGGCCAGTTGTCTGTGATCCCTGTCGTGGGCATGGGCGGGCTTGGGAAGACCACCTTAGTCCAGCTAATTTATAATGATAATGATGTGAAGCGAAAATTTGATCTCACTGCTTGGGCTTGCGTTTCTGAAGCATTTGATCATTTGAAAATAGCACAGTCTATAATTAAATCTATCTGTCCTGGTTTTGTTTGTGATAATATGGATTTAAATCTTCTTCGACATCATTTGGCGGAAAACTTAGAAAGAAAGAGGTTTTTAATTGTTCTTGACGATGTCTGGAATGACAAATACACTGACTGGGTTGCTTTGAAAGATTTGTTTTACAATGGAGTGGAAGGATGTAAAATTCTTGTTACAACTCGCCTAAAGCATGTTGCTTTGATGGTTAAAACTATCTCGTCAATTTATTGTTTAAATGTCTTGTCTGATGAAGATTGTTTGTCAATTTTTGCTGCACACGCTTTCCATTCCAGAGATTCAACCGTGAATTCTTACTTAGAAGAAATCAGAAGCGATGTTGCTAGCAAGTGTAAGGGATTGCCTTTAGCTGCAAAAGTACTTGGGGGACTTTTCCGATCAAAGCCTGACTTTGAAGACTGGAATAAAATACTGAAAGAAGCCATGTGGGATTCATCGGACAGCAATGAGATCATTCCAGCCTTAAAAGTTAGTTATTATTATCTCCCTCCCCATTTAAAACAATGCTTTGCTTTTTGTTCTTTGTTCCCAGAGGATTATCGGTTTCGTAAGGAGGAATTAATCTTGATGTGGATGGCGGAGGGCTTTTTGCAACAGCCAAAGGGGAACATGACTTTAGAAGAAGTTGGTTACAGGTACTTTGATGATTTAACTTCGAGGTCATTTTTTCAAACCTCTCCAAATAATTATGGGCTTCAGTTCGAAAAAAGAGATGAGTTCTTCGTCATGCATGATCTCATTCATGACTTAGCGACTCATGTTGCTGGAGACTTTTACTTTCGGTTAGAGAAGGATGGAAACAAAATTGATAAGAAGACACGCCATTTGTCATGCAACTACCAGAATCATGGATGCTTAGACCATGAGTTTTTCAAAAAAATAAAATCCTTACGAACATTTATAGGATTGGGATCTTACCATCTCTCTCGATTTGATGGAAATGCTTCTCATATTCTCTCATCAAATGTGAAGTGCTTGCGAATGTTGTCACTTCATGGTGTGCATGCATTAAAGGTAGTTCCTGAGTCTATTGGGGAATTCATCCATTTGCGCTATTTGAATCTATCAAACACAAATATTGAAAGCTTGCCTGGGTCAATATGTAAGATGTATACTTTACAGACGTTGTGGTTGGTTAATTGCCTTTATCTTGAGATGCTCCCAAATGAGATTCAAGATCTTGTAAATCTTCGCCATTTGGATTTGTCCTCATCAAAAAGGATTGTAAGTTTGCCTAACTCATTGTGCAAATTATACAATCTACAAACATTGAAGTTAAAAGATTGTCGGCATCTGCAGATGTTGCCACGTGATACACAAGATCTTGTAAACTTGCGGCATCTTGATGTTAGAAACACTGGTTTGAAAGAAATGCCGAGGGGACTGGCCAAGTTAAAAAATTTGCAATTTTTGAGTGACTTTGTTGTTGGAAAAGAGCAAGGGATCGGGATTGGAGAATTGGGAGAAATGCCAAATTTAAAGGGTGGGGTTGCAATTAATAAATTAGAGAATGTCAAGAATGGAAACGAAGCCTGTGAAGCGAGAATGATGGAGAAGAAGCACATTAAGGATCTAATATTATATTGGTCAGAGTATGGCGATGTGGAAGATACAACAACAGAGAGAGATATTTTGGACAAGCTTCAACCTCATTGGGATTTAGAAGAATTGAAAATAATCAGTTATAGGGGCACAACATTTCCGGACTGGTTGGGGAGTCCGCGCTACCACAACGTGACTTGGTTGCAACTGTATAAGTGCAAAAACTGTTGCATGCTTCCCCCCCTCGGGCAGCTCCCGGCTCTAAGGAGATTATATATTGAAGGATTAGAAAGTATTGAGAAGATTGGCGAAGAGTTGTTGAAGGCCAGTGAATGTGCTCCCATGATACCATTTCCATCTCTTGAATTTCTTCAGTTTTCACACATGACTTCGTGGAAAGAATGGTATTCCATTGACATGGAAGCTTTCCCTAAACTCCAACAACTCAAAATATGGTTTTGCTGCGAATTAGTTGGAAATTTACCTAGCCAGTTGCTTTCTCTAAAAACCTTAGAGATGCAATATTGTCCATTGCTGGCTTCTTCTATTCCAAGGTGTCCTGAAATTCAGGATTTAGTGATAGGTGGATGCAGAAGTGTGGGGTGGCAAGAGCAAGAGTTACCTCCTTCCCTTAGGAGGCTAGGAATTACAGGATGTCAGATGTTGGAAACAATGTTGGAGGCACTCTCTGAAACATTTGCATCTTCAACGATTAAGTATCTGGGAGTGCTCCAATACATCACATCAAATGATTCATTTGCCCCCATCACTACAACGGTTAGACATAATCAATTGTCAGAATGTCAATTTTGTGTTGAGTTCAACTGCTCCTCTACAAAATCTCCAACATATAGGTATTTACAAGGGTTGTAATCGTGTGAAGTTTATGTCGGATGACATGGAAGGTCTTCTCCCAAATTTAAAAGAGCTACATATTGATTGGTGTGCAGAGATGGAAGCATTTCCAGAGGGGATCCTTGTGCCAAGTTTGAGGGAGCTTCGTATTGAAGGGTGTGTCAAGCTATTATCCTATCAAGCAGAGTGGCACCTCCTAACTAATATTACTTACCTTTATATTCGTGATTCAAAGGTCAAGTGTTTCCCGGAGGGCTTTTCTCTTCCTGCCACTCTCACCGCTCTGGAGCTCTGCATCTTCGAGAAATTGGAGACGTTGGATTGCAAAGGACTTGAGCACCTAACCTCTCTCCAACAACTCAACATCATGTTTTGTCCCAAGCTGGAGAAAATGTCAGGAGAAAATCTGCCTTCTTCTTTAAGAGAGCTTCGCATTTGGGTTTGTCCTTTGTTGGAAGAAAAATACCTCAAGAAGGATGAAGATCTTATGCGCCGCATATCCCACATCCCACTCATCCGATAATTTTGATTTATAAATTCCTGATATGAGATACAATTATCCACAAGGTACTTATTCTCACTCCCTTGTTCCAATTGATGCAACTTTACTTTTGAGTTTTATGAAAATCCTTAATCACCCGCATGGTATTTATTGGATTGGAAGATTTCCCACGTCAGTTGTCTCGTTCCTTGTTTAACTTCTAGGATATGATTGTTTTTTTATAATTTCATATGTTGTGTATTTATATTTATAGTGACTTTATACTCTATTTTTATTATTTTCCAAATGAAATTAAATGACTATATATAAGTACACATTTTAAGAACTAACTTAAGTATCATAATTTGCAACTTCGTGAATTAAATTAAGGTAACAATCTCGTGTTTCTTTTAAATTATTGTAAATGTTCAAACATAACTAGCAAATATATTTATATTTATATATTTATGTGTGTGTGTGTGTGTGATCTGGCTCAAAGCATATTAATTCATTAATTTAGCTACTCACTGCTCACCGTACACAAAAAAACAAAAGATAAACACGTTTATAAACTTGCAACTTCATGAATTAAATTCAGGTAATAATCTTATTGCTGGCAAATATTTGAGAACATAGCTGGCAAAATATATATATTTTGATGTAGGTCAAAGCATTAATTTTTTATTTTTGCTACTTATTGCTCCTCCTACGCAGAAAAATAAGAAGATATAACTCGTTTACATGGTCCTTTTTATTTACAATTCCATTACTATAAAGATTAATGAAGTAATCCTTTTGGTCTCAAAATTATGCAGAGATGCTCCACATTATTCAATCATATTGAAGGTACATTTTTGACAAGTTTCTTTATGTATTTTTTTTTTATCCTTTCTATTTTTGATCTTTTCTTATCACTTAATGGGTTTGTTGCAGGTAGTGTCCAACAGATGGGAGCTAGTTCTGATTCATAAAAGCAACACATTGCTGCTGCTTCTTCACAATGTTTAATTTTGTTATTAAGGTCCTTCATACCTTTCTAATAAGGTTTGAACTCAACCAAAAAGCTTTTGATTTCTTCGTTCTCTCGTAATCTGCTTGGTTAAATATTCTTATTAATTATGGGGTTTGTTTAAAATGTAGCACCAGCCAAAAAGATAGAAGGGATTTGCAGTCTTGAATCTATACCAAGAAGAAAAGCTCAATTGAAATCTGATCCGGTCCATATCTTCATTAATTTTTTGATCTTCTTGAAGTGTTCTTCTTGATACTTGAGCATTTTGTTATCTTTTTCAATGATGTTTCAAGACCTGTAAATTGTGTATTGTATTATGATTACTCGTTACTTATTAAATTCCCAGGCTTCATTCATGCTTGGGGAGAGGATGTAGGATTCAAATTTTGAATCCGACATGTAATCAAGCGCGCAAGCTTTATAATTATAAATTCTTGTAAAATATGTAGCATAGCTATACATGTACAACAACAACAACAACAAGCCTTTATCCCACTAGGTGGGGTCGGCTACATGGATTGCAAGACGCCATTGTGCTCTATCATTTATTAAGCTTTTAGAAATATTATTAATTAAGAGATCACGTTCAACAACTTCCAAGAGTGTTCTCTTAGGCCTTCCTCTACCTCTCTTAATCGGACTCAAAGTTATATGTTTCACTCTTCTCACTGGTGCCTCCCTTGGTTTTCTTTGTACATGCCCAAACCATCTCAATCTATTTTCTACCATTTTTTCCTCAATAGGTGCCACCCTCATTTTTTCACGTATGTGCTCATTTCGAATTTTATCTTTACGTGTATGTCCGCACATCCATCGTAACATTCTCATCTCTGCTACTCCAACTTTATGTTCTTGCTGTCCCGTTAGAGCCCAACATTCACTACTATATAACATTGTCGGTCTGATAGCAGTACGATAAAACTTTCCTTTAAGTTTATTAGGCACTTTACGGTCACAAATAACTCCTTTAGTTTTTCTCCAATTAAACCACCCAGCTTGAATTCTATGTGAAATATCTCCATTGATTTCGCCATCATTTTGAATAATAGCTATACATGTAACGCTTCAAAATTTTACACTGATTTTTTGCAGACTAAGTGGCTTCACAAATAAACTTTATTCATTAAATACTTACCATGAACCATTTAAACCCCCAAACGAATTCAAAATCTTCACTATATTAATTAATTACTTATTTAACTTTTGCATACCGAAATCATCACTAAAAATCACTTCACAATGTTTAGGGTTTCAAATATAATCATCCTACCATATTTATTGACATCAAAATAACCTAAATAATACCCATTTAATTTCAAAACACTCAGTTTAAATCTAAGGGCTAGTTAACTCTAAAAATGAAATCCCAATGCTAACCAAAGTTTAAAGAAGCTTTAAAAAAGTGAGAGTATGCAGGAAAATGCTTAGATGAGTTACCTTGAGCAACTGTAGCCCTATAATCGTGCTCCAGGGTTAGGAACTCCAAATCTTAGTAAAGCCATTAAAAAACCACACCAAACTCTCCCAATTTCTCTCCTCTTCATGTCTGTTGCGAACAGACGCATCAATGCAGATTTTGCGTCGTCGGTTGCAGCAGAAGCATCATGCACCTTGACAGATGATGCGAAACATTGCACCTTACATAAGCCAAACTATTTGGGTCCAGTCTGGCCCGATATCTAATTTGGACCCTATACAATTCAAATATATCATTTTAAGTCCAAATTAAATTATAATCAGATGCCGAAACATGTGATTATTTTCAAATAATTTTAAACACTATTTATTATCCAAATCAAACCCAAAGTAATATCAAGCTTAATTTAAATAATACACATGGTAACATGATTGATAAAGTACTGAGAAGTGAAATTCTTCATTATTTTATTTCTCAAGTAAATATAACTTCAACTGAATATTTATCTTGATATCAATTATTATAGATATATCAAGGCTTTCTATATCTTTCTACTTTTTATGGACAAATGTGTCTCCTCGCACAATCAAGTCACGAAGGTGACAATAATTATATCATACAAATTCGATATCTTCATACAAATGGGAGGAAATGTTTAAAAAAACTATTTAAAAACTTATACTGCAAATTTAAATGATTAAAAAATATATTTGAAAGCTTCAAACAAAAAAATTTTCCATTCCATTGTTCCTATTCAGCTCCATTCGTTCTCATGATTCATAATAACCTTAAGCCTGGATTCAAACTTGAGGAAACATCCTAAGCTTAAACTTTAAATGGTAAACTTAAAATATTACATAAATGAACAATATGCCTAATTACAATTCAACACAATCATCTTCAATAAATATTATACTTTTTATCACATATTTCCCACTTTTCCATTCAAATGAATCTCAAACACTATATCTATCGCTTCATAAAGTTAAGAACAATTTTTATTTAAAAAAAATGAAGGAAATACAAACTCCACACGATATCTGATTAAGTATTTAAGCACTGTCAGTTAATTGGAGGTAACTTTTTCAAATATATTTTTTGCATTAGCACACTCAAACTTGAAACCTCATGTTTAAGCAATCATTACTTTTTTCACTAAGACAACAATTGTTGGTAACTTCACTTGCTTATCAAAGTTAAGACATGTATCCAAGTTCAAAAATGCTTGTAGATGTACTTATAAATTATTTATCAATAAAATTTTTACATTGATAATAAAATTTAATTCCACAATTTTATAAATTATGGACTAAATTTTTATCAACCGGACCAACCTTGGTTTCACATGAACATTAAAAAAAAAAAAAGGTGTGGGTAGATTTAAATATTTAATGGACCTGATTAAAGGACTACAGAGTTTCAGCCCAATTTAAATTAGCCCAAAAATTCCATTGGGCCAAAAAGGAACCCAGCCCAGACCAATAATACTTGCGAACCTAATTATCAGAATGTACCCTTGAGCATTTTCATCTGCTTCAAGAAAGAGGCAAGAGGGGAGAGAGTCATAATCTTGCACCAAGAAAACAAGGGAAAATGGCTGCAGAAGATACGCCAAATTCTACTATTACCGACGATCAGATCGGTACCAGTGGTACAAACCCTAACCCCAGGGTTCGTGACTCCGACGAGGATGAGCTCGAGGAGGGAGAGATCGTCGGAGAAGATGACTCAAGTACTTCAAAGGCATCTTCCGCCGTCGTGCATCAGCATCACCCGCTTGAGAATTCTTGGACCTTTTGGTTTGATAATCCCTCTGCCAAGTCCAAGCAAACCGCTTGGGGAAGTTCTATTCGACGCATCTATACCTTCAGTACTGTTGAGGAGTTTTGGAGGTCAGGCTTTTTTTCCCTTTTTGGCCGTCCCCCTATCCTTTTTTTTTTCTCTTTGGGTAAGGTCATTTTCCTGTCTTTTTTCTTTATTACATGTGGATTTTGTTTGTTTGGCTACTGAGGAAGTTGATATCACATATTCCTTCTATTAAAAAATTTAAAGATATTTTTTTTAAAATTAAATATTAAAAAATATAAAATATTTTTATTCTTTTGAGTGTAATTATTTTTTTAAGTGTTCTTATAAATTTATATTTATTATAAAGTCTTTAAATATAAAAAGATAATATTATTTTAAAAATAGTTAATTATTTATTAGAGCTGTGAAATTCAGTTAAAAATGTTTTATAATGCAGAAAAGTGCTTCTTGGGACATTAGTTTTAGTTGGTTGGATGATTTGAGTTTTTATGTCTGGTTCTTACTGAGTTGGCTGACATTAATCGTGGGTGAAGAGTTTTAGTGCATCAGATTGTTAATAGTGTTGAGGTTTGTGAGATAGACAACCTGGAGCAACAAGGAACTCATTTCCTTTGTCGAAAAACACATGACTTCTGGAACTTTCGAGTTATGTAGATGATTTGTGTAGTTAACTTGACCCTAAAGCACTTACTGATTCCCCAACCTCCAGATTTTGTGCAGATAATCTCCGCCACGAGGATATCTGTTAATTTTTTGATGATACATATGATAAGATGGCCCCCAAACTATTTTTTGTCCATTAATCTCTAGAGTTTTAAGTCACGTGCGGTTAACTTCATAATATGTCACAAGATAGTGAAACAATGGAGTCACTAACGCCAAGCAATTATTTACACATAATCTAGGCCTATTTAAAGTTCTAAAGGTGCAGAGTTATTTGCCAATGAGTTTCGGGGATTTCCCTGTACTACGGACCTTAGTTTTTTTTTTCTTAATTTGTGTAATTGATGAAAAAAATGCTTGTGGCCATGGGTGCAAAGTCTTTCGGGTGACTCATGGATAGAATGTTGTTGTTAATATTTGGTGGCATGGTTTGTGCTTTGTTCCTTCCTTGGAATCAAAATGTCCTTTCCCCCCCTTCTCTTTAGTCTCGGGTTGAAATGATGCAATTTGCTTCTCTTCAGATTCCTTCCATTTCTTATTTTTTGGGTAGGGAATGGCTAGGGGATTGGAAAGTGAAACGATAACATACATGGAATTTTAGATTCACATGGTTAGCTTGGCAGCTAAAAGCAATCAAAGCTGACAGAATGGAATAATCAAGGATATGCACAATTTTAATGCCTTCTTTTTGGTTTTTTAATTTTTTTTTTTGGGGGGGGTGTTGGTGATGAAGATGCCTGGAAATGATGGCAACCTATAAATTAACCTCGTAGATATCTCTTTACCTAGAACAAACATCTCAAATGCTTCATTGCATTCTAGATGCCACATGAAGATGCCAATAAAGTCATCATTTGTTTTCCATTTTTTTATGACAACTTGCATTGTTGACACAAAAGGGTTGGAAATGCTGGATGGGTTTAAATTTTACAGATCATAATTATCTTCAAATGCTTGTTGTGATAACCTCTCAGAACTTATCAGTACATTACAACATAACATGTTTCTTGAAGATTTGTCCTGGGCCCTTAACTCTGATTATCTTGCCTTTTCTATCTTTTACATGTTTCTGGTCACATGTACCATGACGTTTGTTAATATAAACCTGTAGATTTAGGCTACAGCTAATATTGATTGTGTTTATAGATATTGCATCACCACAATATCACATTAATCCATGTAAACTTTTGAAGTCACTGGCTTTGAACACTGCTTGATCTGTTTGTAATTTTTCATGCGAACTGTCAATTATAACTGCTGCAGTTTTATGTTTTTCAATCTTAAACGCCATATTTTATGTTGATGGACACAAACCATGCTATTTACACTATTTGCCCTTGAGGAAGTGCTGAACTGTATTGTTAAAGCCTATGGTTTAGCTTTATATAGTTTTCTTTAATCTGATTCAATTTCAAAGGGCAGAGTTTATTTAGTTTTTCTTAAGCAGTTTTCTTTACAACCTTAAACTTCATAGTTACTTCTACTGTTTGATTATTGTTGCTACAAATGTTCATTCAGTGTTTACAACAACATACATCGTCCTAGCAAGCTGGCTGTAGGAGCAGATTTTTATTGTTTCAAAGATAAAATTGAGCCAAAATGGGAGGACCCTGTCTGTGCTAATGGAGGAAAATGGACTGTCACATTTTCCAAGGGGAAATCTGATACCTGTTGGTTGTATACGGTATGGTTTAGAATTTATGATATATAAACGTTGAAGGACTAATTTATTTAAACATTGACTAATTTTAGAGAATGCTTCGTGATGAACTAACATTCTGTCACGCTAACTCCAGTTGCTGGCAATGATTGGCGAACAATTTGATCATGGAGATGAAATTTGTGGAGCGGTAGTAAATGTTAGAGGCAAGCAAGATAGAGTTTCTATTTGGACCAAGAATGCTTCTGATGAAGCAGCTCAGGTAACATTTTCTGACTTTTTCGGGTGTTGAAAAGTTTGTCTATTTTTCTCGTGGGGAGAGCAAAATTTCTGTCCAAATTTACTAGATGATGATTTTCATTATCAGTTGTGAACAGTAGTTTTGTTGTATTTAATCTCTCCGGACCAGCATATAAGGCATTTTTTATAAGCTTGTTTGGTTCAAGATATAGGATATTAAATAGTTTTTTACAATTATTTTTTCAATTATACTCCTACTTCATTTATTATTTTTTTAAAAATATGATGAATTGAAATTTCAATTATCATTATTATAGAGCATATAATTGGAAAGATGTAATATGTTTTAGGAAATATTTGAGAACTGTGAAATAGTTATCAATATCATATATTATATTCCAAGAGCGGTACTTGTTAAGAGGATGGCAAAGTTAGGATTGTGTCATGCATCTCATCTGATGCTATGTGTGAAATGTGCATCAATGGAGGAAATGAGCGACACCCCACTGGTGGCAACATAGCTCCCGACTAAGGAAGATACCTGCGATACTGTTGTATTTTGGTTTTATACAGAATCTTACTGTTAAAATGCTTAGAAGTAACAATAGTACAAGGAAATTCTGATTGTGTGTATATATGTATAGTTGATTTTTTTTCTTGTTACAGGTAAATATTGGAAAACAGTGGAAGGAATTTCTTGATTATAATGGAACCATTGGATTTATATTTCATGTAAGAAAGTCTGCCAACTATTTTGCTTCTGTTTGTGCCCCTCTTGATCTGGAGGCTAATGAATTTTTGATGTCTTGCTATTTCAACAGGAGGATGCTAAGCATGACAGAGGTGCCAAAAATAAATACACTGTATGAACTATGTCATGTTTTTCGAGTCAGCTATTGTAGAACAATTTACACTTTGTTGTATCGGTGAAGCCGGTAGCATGTAGCTGCCGGATTTATTCTCTGAAAGTAGACCTATAATGGCTTCCGAATGCAGAATTGATTTTTGCCAAGAAATCACGCGTTGCTCATAATCGATTTGAATGGGATACGTTTGATAACAAGTGGCAGATGTGATTTCATCATGCCTGTGCCGATCTGTCCAATTTGCTCTAAAATAATAAAATCATGTTTCCGACATGTCATCTAAACATGTCCTTATGGGAACAATATGATGAGGCCATAAACTTTTGGTCGAACTGATTAATCTGCTTTATTCACAACCTGAGTACAAGATGCGCAGTCTCGGCCGTTGCACAAAGAAAATCTAAAACACGGAAATACTGCTAACCCAAAGAGATTTAACAAAAACAATTGCACTTTATTTAAAACAAATTAAAATAAGAATAATTATAAATACCACGAAAAGGAAGAAACAAATCAAAGCGCGGACAAGATTTGGGCATCAAGAACATAAACCTGTACATATAAGAAATATAGGACTGGTGGCCCAAAGAGAGGAAGAAATAAAAGACCGAGGCCGTGATAAAATGTAGGCAGCTCTTTCATTTCAGAATAGATACGCATTTACAGCAATTTCGTCTGTTCCCCTGGGCAAAAATGTATTAACAAGAGCAGGAAGAACAGCAAAAAAGGCGTTTCAAAGAATTTCCCCTTCTTCCCAACCTCCGTTCAGAACATCCTCATCTTCATCAGCCATGTACTCATTCTTCAAGAACAAACCCAAACGTTCCAAGGGGCTTCCCCGCTGGAATCTATCTGATCCAATTACCTGTCTCCGAACACGATATGATAGAGCACACCCGCTTAACATTTCAAGTTCCTTAAAACTGTCCGAGTTAAACTCCGTAGTTTTTTCCACCTACAATGAGCACACAATGGATTTAAACTTCAGCTTTCCCAGGATCAAGATTCTAGAGCTAGAAATATTAAAGTTTTTTTTTTTTTTGGGGTTGTTTGGGGGGGGGGGGGGGAGACCTTGTCTATCATAACTCGGGCAGCTTCTCTTTGTTTTTCTCTTCGTTGCTTGGACTCTTCCTCAGCCCTCTTTTTCGTAGCAGCTTCAACACTTCTGATTTGAGCCTCAATCCTAGCTCTCTCTGTCATGCAAAACCAGCTAATCATGAAATAGCAGTTGCAAACTTGCAATCCAACAAAACAGCTTATCATGAAAAAAAAAGTTGTAGTCCAACAAGAATCTCTCCTTCAAGTTTCAGAGTCTCTAATCAGAATAAAAAATGAGAACTAAATTCTCATATGGAGAGGGATACACAACGAGTGGTGCCCCACTGAAAAAAAAATACAATGGAAATGGAAAATTATTGCAGCTATAAAGGTAATAACCCAAATGTCCGGATCACCTCCTTCGGCTCAATTAGAGAAAGGTCGCATATTAATTGGTTCCGTGACAAATAATTTGAGAAAATACATCAAAGGAAGCAATCTCCTTCATAGAAAGGAAAAGTACGTTGGAAATAAGGCAAATGCAATAAAAATTAGACAAAGAATACTAATACTATATGCCATCAAATCAATAATTCCAACGTAATAAAGAGATGTGTTATATTCACCTTCGCGCTCAAACTTTTCCAATCTCTCCTTTTCTTGCTGCACTTTCAGCAAATCAGCCTTGTCACCCTAAAAAGAGCAGGCAGAAGGTGTTAGCAAAGCCCGTAACCTTTATAATTACTCTGTACTCAACATCCTTACATGGTCAAGGAGTGTCTTTTGTTGTGCTTTTAAGATAGTCTCTGCAAAGCGGCTTTTTAGCATTGCAGCACGAAGAGCCTTTTTAGGTGACAGCTGAACATCACAAACAGGAGCATTCCACACTAGTCATAATAAACCAGCTAGTAGTTAGCACCACACTAATTCACATCACAAAAGCAAAGTCAGTTAAAGCAATAAAGCAGAGGAGCAGCTAACCTTCTCCAGTGGACGAGTCAGTAGCTGAAGTTGTATGCTGAGTAGAGCATACATGTTCACTATCCAAAGCACTTACAACCCCTTTTCATTATGTCAATATATTTTACATACCAAATCAGGAAGAAAGTAACACACAAGCAGAAAATGACATATCACAAACAGTAAAATCTTCTCACCATCAGAATCAGGATCAGACTTCCTCTGCAAACGTTATGTATATTTCAAAGATTAGATATATCATTTATTCTAAGATTTTCACATAAAAGAAGTTAAGCTAATTTCATTTAAGATAACGTTAAGAAAGTTGTCCACACCAGTCTCATCGCATCAGCACCAAATGCATGTTGATCCCTTTCTTCTGATCCTTCAGAAGATAAATCTAAACCAATGCAGGCATATAAATGTCAATTAGGCAATAATTGACTCAGTCAAGCAGACACATCCAGAAGATTGTCAGCCTAACTACCTGAAGATGCACATGTTGAGTTGCTTGGAAGAACACATTGGCAAGAAATGTCACCACATGTATTACATTTGTGACTGACAGGAGTCAAAGGACAGGCTTTTGCACAACCAGAAATATGCGTCCCATTTTTACCTTTGCTGCCTGTAAAATCCACAGCTATTAGCTCCATTTTAGAGATATAAAAACAAAGTCCAAATTGAACTCTCAAAAGTTTCATACCTTCAAGTATGCCTTTAGCAGTTAATCTACGAGGAACCTGTGCTGACTTGAAAACATCCGCCTATGGGTTGAAGATGTACAAATTAAAAAAATGTATTCCGTAGATACAAAAAAAGAGGCACACAAAAGGTGATAGTGGCCAAAAATACAAAAACCATCTTAAGGTGACCCTACCCAAACAAATACATGCAGTGACAAACACAGAGAGCTGACAAAAGCATCAATTATATAGCATCAAAAGCAGAAGTTTCTCATATTACTCAGCATTTCAACATCCATTTTCCTTGTAGGAAAAAACACTTACCTTATCCCCTCTTACAGCAAAGGAGCTCCTCTTCTGAATACCATTCTGTTCAGGCACCTTTATGGAAGAAAGTTCCTTTTGCAGGGATAGCCCCCCATTACAACTTTTTCTCACAGTTTCCTTCATAGTTCCAACTGCACATTTTCCATGCTCAACTTCACAAGACCATTTTTTCTCCAATTCTTTCCATTTCCTCTCGAAAATCTTTTTCAGTTCCTTTGCCATTAAATGAACATCATTACTAGGAGGGTTATACGTCATAGCATTCAAAAAGGTCAGCCTGACATCAGCAGCAAATTCCTCAATGCCATAGTACACATGTTTCTCCAGCTTCGTTTTTATTGTGCCTAAATCCATGGGTTCAGATATGATTGTGAAATAATCTGGTATGTTCAATGCTACAGGATCCACTGGCTTACTAAAAACCCAGCTATATGGATGAGACATCAGACTCTTAAGAATGGAGACACACTGCAGAGACATTTTCCGATCTAACTTCTGCCTTTTCTCCTTTTGGCCCACAATACTTACTTGTGGTTTCCGCTTATTGGAGGACTTCTCCTTCAGACTACCACACCCATTTTCATTGAGGGTAGACAAGTTCTGCTGGAACTCACATTTTGTCACAGGATCAACTTCAATAATTTTGGAAGGAAATTTAATCTTCAGTTTTCTGATAGGTACAACGGATTCTGTCGCGATCATAGTGATGGACTAAATCAAGTTGTGTGAGGTTACTGTCAAGGTATCCAAGTTCTCAAAAGACCATAAATTCAACCAGTTTGTGGCAAGGAGATCAAGCCTGCAATACAGTCACATGTCAAATATAGGCCAAACATAAGAGAAGACAGAGGCAAACCTATGCAGGTCTAATTTAAATGTCAGAACCACAGAAACAGAACAAACTTGTTCTTTTGGAAAAAAATATTTTTTAATTGAAAAAAATTGTTTCCTACTACTGGCTTTTAAAATCCCTATCAAACAAAAAATTTCCAAAAGTTACGAGCAGTAGTTTCTCGAGACACAGGATCAATTACCAATCTGTAATACCTCATTATATTTATCTAATTGTAAGTAGGGGTCCGTCTGAATCTTTGAGTCATTACATAATTCCCTCATCGCGCAAATCTAACCAATTAAGGGGCAGCTAATATATATCATTATATATCAATCTGTGGTGGCCATGAATCTGAAAGAAAGAATTAGAAATTGACACGGTAAGGGAAACACCAATCGAACAAAAGTCGACATCATAAGCCCATTCATCGAAAAAGAAACTCGTTTGTAAATGTGTCAAGCCACCGACTCCTAAATTACTCAAAATCCAGGAAAATTCGACTCGATAACAAAAATTAAAACAAATGGGGAAGGTTTGCATCAGTAACGGCCCATCGAAACATATTCGAAGTCATAAACTTCGTCCCATGCCGTAATGAAATAAAAAGAACCACAACACGCGCACAATTCTGTCTCCCGAATCATACCCCCTACCTTCGTCGATCATAGCAAACAAAACGCCAAAGGAATAGAACGAAAAAAAAAACAGAGAATTAGGGCTTCAAAAAATAGCGTACCCTAATTTCACCAGGGAACGCCGAACTCGCAGATCTATGATGCATAAAAATGAGAAGAGAGTGTGAAAGCGCCGACGCAAACCTCGCAACTTGACGAAAAGAGAGAGAAGCAGTGGGAAGATATGGATTTAAAAGCAGTGTAATCCTAGGGTTTTATCTTCTTTGACGCGTAAAATGTACGGCATTTTAGGAATTTTCCAAACTAACAAATATTAAAAATTGTTAAACTATTTAAAATGAAAATATATAAAAACATTACGCCAATATGTTACGAAAATCAGGCAAAAAAAATAATTGTAAGAAAAAATTATGATAAATTTTTCAGAATCAAATAAAACTAAAAAAATATTTATTAATGCATGATATACCATCAAAAATATTTGGCCAAAAAAATATACTATAAAAAATATTTATTTATTTTTATTTTATTTTAATATTAAATTAAATTAATATGTAATATCAATATGTATAATTGTTTAAATAAAATATGTATACTTAAATTTATAAAATTATAAATTTAAAATTGAACAACTTATCCATTTCAAAACAAGAAATTGACCATTTTTTATCAAAAAATAAAAAAGAAAAGAAAACGTCAAACAAATCAACATGTATAGTACTTAACATATTTTTTTCAATTAAATTAAAAAAGCTTCTGCTCAAACAAAATTTAATTTAAATTTAAACACTTATTTTATCTTTTTTATAAGTAGTAAAATATTTAATTCGAATTCAATTTTAAGATATTTAGATTAAAATATATTATTGTGGCCCCCACAATTCAGCTTTATTCCGCATTTATCTTTAATAACTTCATATTTTTTTTCCATCAAGATTTGGTAAGGTTGTGCAAAGAATTGGATGAAATTTGATTTCGACTTAACTTAAATTTTAATCTCTTTTATGAAAATAATTGGATTAGGTAATTTATAGTTCAATTTGGTCTAATGATAACTTAAAAATTAATAAGACTAGATTTGATCTATAAGATTAGAAGACTAATATTGTTAGTCAGGACAATAATTCATTTAACCTAATTAAAACACTTATAATCATAATAAATCTATAATAATTTCTAACAATAAAAAAAAATATTTCAATTATAATCCAAGTAATTCAAATTATTAAATTATTAGTCTGAGCGTACCACTATGCAAGAAACCAAACTTATTGAATTATTAATAGTCTTAACTTATTATTATAAATAATTAATAAATTAATTATAATTATATTAAATAAATTTAATAGGATCAGATTGACCAAATGGTTCAAATGATCGCTCTCATATTCAATCCAATCCCAAAAAATAGTCTAATTTTTTTTAATATTTTCAGTCCTAAATGATCAATTTTTAACATGACCAAAGAGGATCAAACATTTTTAAGTTAAATTGGGTTGAATAAAATTGAAGGATTTTTATATAGCTTAGGATTTGGAATGAAGAAAAATTGATTAATTGAATGACGATAGGTAATTGATTTATTATTAATTATTAATAAATATTAAATAACATTTATCATTAAATTAAATCAAGTAAAATTTTGCTCTGAACTCGCCCATTAAGTCAAAACCTAGAGAGAGAAAGCTTGCGTATTAAGTTAAAGAAGATTCTAGTTGTGGAAACAACCAAGAAAAAAAAATGAGGATGCACGAGTAAATAGTTAATAGTTAATAATTAACTATATTAAAAAAAATCGATCTCTTCTTTTTACCCCAAAAAAAAAAATTGGTTCTCTTCTAGGGTTTCGCCTTTAGGCCTCTTTAAAACGAGACATAATTTCCACAGCTGCAGATCTCCCTCTTATCCGGCGATGCTCGACAGGGAAGTTTTCGAGGTAATTCATTCATTTTGCTATTTGCTATGTTTGTCAATTAGATTTGCAGTTTCTAGACTTAGATCTGCGTTTGTAGTCGTTTTGAGACGGTGGATTTTTTCCAAATCCTTAACTTTATTGGGGGCAAACGACCTGTGTTTGCATATTCCCAAGTTAACGTCGTATATAAATGTCTGTCGACGTTGACGGATCTCTCGCTTGGTAGATTCTCCGTCGATCTCGTCTCATATTCCATCGCCTTGTGGAGCAGCGTAGCTGCTGTTACTTCTTGGGATTGGCCATGGGACATACATTCTTAAACTTTCTTTTATTCTATTGATTTTTAATTATGTTTTTTTGAGCTGTCATAATAGTATCGGTCAACGAATTTGCCATATTTAGAGGCTTGTGCATTATCTTTCTCTTTTACCCAATGATGATATCACATATCTCATACAGATGTTATTCTACTATTATGTGGCTCTATCTGTAGTTCGCTTGCAATTACAATCACTGATAAGTATATCTAGTTCTTTGGTGACGGGGGATTTACTCAGATCTCTTACTTTTATTGAGAGCAAACTCCCTGTGTTTGCATGTTTTCAAGTTAACGTTACATATCAATGTACACTGACGTTGATGGTCATTCCTCCGTTGGTTCTTGTCTCATATTCCATCGCCTTGTAGAGCAGCGTTGTTGCCATTACTTTTTGGGACTGGCCATGAGACATTCAAATTTATTTCTTGGGACTGACCATGAGACATACATTTGAATTTTTGGATACTTAATTGTTTTATTTGTGTTTGTTGGTTGTGTTCATTGATCACGTTTTTCATTAATTTTTTCATATTTTTTGGAAATTTTACTGTGTCATTGGATAGCTATAATATAGCCTATGATGATATCAGTTATCAAAACACACCATCTTTCGGGACTGAATGGCTTCTAAGCCTTGCTGTTATTCTGCAATTCTGAGGCTATTTACTGCAATGATGTTTTATGTGCTGTGATTTCTTTGTGGGGCTCGCAGTGTTTAGTATTTTCTTTTTCATTCAATCAAAATAACTCATGATCAATTTCTGAGTCAACAAATTTGGACTAAGGAGTCTGCTTCTGTATGATTGGTGATAAGTGATCCTCTTGTTTATTGTTATTTCTATTTTGATTTGCCTTATAGTTCTTTAATCATGACCTTCTTCCTTTCGTTTGCTTATGATAAATATAAATTTGTCTTGTTAGGTGTTAAACTGATTCCCTCTGGACCACAGCATTCACAAAACCATCGCTCGAAGCAGTGGAGTGTTTCATGGTGTGTTTGAACTTTCACAATAAAATGCATTTGTAGTGTTGTTCCGTAAGGACTGTTTTACAGAATACAGAGCAACACAGCAAATGCATTCTAATGTGAGGTTTCTAGATCCTATGCTGAGTCGTATAGATGCATTTGTGGTGTGGCTTGAAATGACATGTTCCAAAAAAGAACTTTGAATAGCCTGATAAATATATTCCAGTGTGGAGGCCTCCATGATGCTTAGATGTTGAGCATGGCTACAAATGGTTTTGATTTTTGAGGTAACAATGTTGCTGAATTTCATGAATACCTGTGTCATGGTAAGAAATGATGAATTGGTTTTCATTATTAGAGTCTCGTTTTATTTTATTTTTTTCGATAGCTTTTATAGGAGTTTAATTTTGAAGATAGAATGATGTGGGTGTCTTAAAAAGGGGGAAAATGAATGTGTGCATGCTTTGAGATATGAGCACCAGGGCATGTACACGTTGACACGTTGTGATGTTTGTGGTGATCTTAACTATTCATGTCTGATGCATAGTTTGGCTTCCTACAAGTTTTTGGGAGATAATACATTTATGAATCATAATTTGATGGTATTTGAATCATAATCCAATTTTGGACTGAGAAGCCTGCGTCTCCATGATGGTTGACGTGTGTTAGTCTGTTTTTCAACTATAGGGAGATGACATCAGAAAAGTTAAATCCTCAAGCGGGGAAAGTTATTAGTTGTGGTCGAATATCACAATAAAATGCATCCGCAACGCTGCCTCAGAATTGCACGGCTTTTTATCGACTCAGTGCATTGATGCACGTGAAAGCAGTTTTGCTGTTTCCATTTGCAGTACTCCCTCTGTTTGAATGTTATGGACATACAGAAGGTAATAACTTTATCACACAATTTTAAAAAATCAATCAACGATAATAATTGTAACTGAAAAAAAAAAATTGGATTATATACCTTTATATTTAATCAAAATAAAGCTGTTTATCATGAATGAAAATTATTTAATTAAAATAGAGATATTTTTTATGAATAAAAATTACGACTTTATGTGGGTAATTTAAAAAATCATAATAAATGATTATTGGGATATGTGATTTTATTTATAAATAAAAAAATATAACAAGTAGTAGAGTGAGTACCTTATAAACAAAAATGGATCCACCAATGAGGGCTACAGCTCGATGAAAAGGTTATTATGTGACTTTTTCTGAGATATAATGTAATTAATATAAATTTGATGGCTATTAATTTTATGTAAAGTGCTTTATATTTTGCACCAAAGCTTTGTAGTAGATGTCCCATTTTTTGAGCTGGAAAAAGTAATTCTTATTTCTTAAAAGACCTAGTTAATCACCTTTTAGATATATGTATTGTGTTGTGGCACCTTTGGCTGCCAATATAATCAATCTGTCCGCGTGAATTTAATGCTTCCTCAAAAAGAAACTATAATTATTTGGATTCAATTTATAATTTATTTTCAATATGATTTATTGGAATAAGGAAAAATCTTAAAATTAACTTTATATAAAAGTGTAATAAGTTTTTAATTTTCTCCATATTAATTATTAATATTAGTCCATCAATATTTAATGAAAGGTAAATTGAAAAATTTGTATTAAAAACTTAATAATGTGATTTATAAATAAGGTTGGAAAATTTTTTCTCTCATTACATTATAAATAGGATTGAAGAAAGTATTATCCATATTACAAGTGTGGGTGTGTATTATTTTGCATCTTATTGTAAATTATTTTTAGTACTTTTATTAGAATCAAGAAATTTTTTTAATTTTATTAAATCTGTTTAAAAATTTGACAAATTTCTAAAAATGGAATACTCTAATATTTAATATTATTCTCAACATTTAATAAGAAAAAAAGGCAAAATAAATAAAATAATTATTGAAATGTTTTGTAAGTAAAATTAAAACAAATACTTGTTTTGGCCCAAAATAAATAAAATATCTATCTTATAAATAAGATCAAAGAAATATCTTTTAAAGTACAAGGAAAAATATAAATCAAACATTTCCAATTACACATTGAAAGCCATACTCCATGTTGTTCTGTCTCTCTCTTCTTTAAATATATTCTATTTTATTTTATTTATAAGTTATTTTTAATATGTTTTATCAAAATTAAAAATTTTAAAACTCACTGATTCTTTTTAAAAATTTAATAAATTGTTAACTTCATTCATATTAAATATAAATATTTTAATAATATTTTTTCTTGTCAATTCATATTTTAAGTGGATAAGCCGATCGGAGGAAATATTGAATATCAAGTGATTCGAACAAACTAAGTTGTTGGCCGGGGGAAAAAAAAGGAACCAAGTATGTTGGATCATGAGTATATAACAACGTAGTGTACAATATTGTTTTAAGATAAACAAGAGTTGAAGCGCTTAAACCAAGATTTGTGTATTTTTTATATGTTAATAATTATATATTAGGATGTTTTATATACCAATATATATTCTGATTTGATTTGATTTTTGATAGATCGTTGAACAATGATAAAATATAATTTTGTAATTCAATGATTCGGACGTGCTACCGAAAAGCAAAGCTTAGGGAGAAATCTTGCTACTAAGGCAGTCCAAAAAAGAAATAATAAATGGTATTAACCATGCCATTATTCGTCCGTACCGTTCCCACAGGAGATTTATAAGATTTATCATTGAACTGAATTCTAACACTAGTATAATATAACAATCTGAATTAACCCAACCAGTTAAATTGATAAACTGTTAAATCAGCGTCTTAATTGTTTTAATAAAATTCTTTATTCATGATTATTTTAATCACAATTCAACTATAATTTTAACCATTAACTCTTAAATCAATATCTTAACTAATTAAATAACCAATTCAATTTTTAGTCTCTTGAACACCATTGACCAAACCTTAGAAACTTACGAGAGTTATTGTTGGTCTGTACAATTCTTTCCTATCAACTTTGAACAAATAACAACTTCTCTCAGAAACGGCACCAATAATTTTTCTTCAATTATTCATGGTATTCCAACTTGACTTGATATATGAAATCAAAATGGACCCACTAGCAAGCCAGATTTCGATTTTCTTCAACTATTTCTACGCTCAAGGTTATGACAAAAAGTAAATACTAGGCATTAAAAAAAATATATATGAAGAAACTTGCACTGTTTATCTAATTCACAAAACTTGTTCGCTACAATACATGATCCCGAGGTATCAAGGGAGACTGCTCTTTTATGATACATTAATTTATGGTGAAAAGCACTCAAAAATCTTCACCATTCTCGTGTAGTTTCCAGTTTTTATAGTGGCTCATGAACCCATCCAATAATCATACAGCTGCCAAAATGATTACTAAAGCCTCAGTAATTTCGTAGATTAATCTTGCTCTCCAATTATTCGGGTAACAAGTCCAACAGCAATTGTTCTTCCTAATGCTCTTAGAGACACCCTTCCAAGAGCTTTACAGATAGATGATTCTACCACACAGACTGGCTCTTGCAAAATTACCTGAAATCAGAGACAACCAAATTTACTCCATATTTGTGCAGTGTCTGAGAGAGGGGGAGAGAGAGAGATTGTTAAGACAGTTTTTTTTTTTTTTTTTGTTTATTTACCTCAACTACCGCACTCTGCTTTGCAATGAGACAGCGAGGGGACTTTTTTGTCACCTTCCCAGTCTTTGGATCAAGTACTGACAATATGCTTGACACTTTAGCAGGCTCTTTGGCGTGGTGTATATGAAACTCTAACTGCACAAGAAATAAAAAAAAAAAATTGAATTTTTCCTTTGTCTCTTCCATAAAATAAGCAACAAGCGAGATCTTACACATAGTTCCTACCTGCGATCCTACCAATATGGGATTTGCACCTTCCAACACAAGCACCTTCAACTCCAAATGACTTGCAATTGCAACAGGAAAATCAGGGTGGCATAATACTCCTCCTGACATTACATGACTTGCATCTACACCATTCAACGTGACAGCTACATTATCTCCAGCTCTTGCAATAGTGCAGGCATTAGAATCACGCTCCAATGCGCGAACTGTCCCCAAAACAGCTGAAGGCATAACTAAGACCTAAAATTTCAGACAGTTGAAAAAAAATAAATAATTTTTTTCCACGGGATAGGAGAAAAGTTGAGGCATATGAATTCATTATGAGCATTACTATATATTAATCAGAACGAAGTAATAATCAAATACAATATTTTAAAGACTAGTCCTGCAAATCTTAGCAACCAATAACAGCAGCACTATATCCCAAGGTTGAACCCAAAAGAGGGGAAGGAATAACAAGAAGACAGGTATGCATACCTATTCAACTGATCATAACCAGACATGAAAGGTAACATGGTATATAGAAGATTATTTTTGACAAGGACAAGAGCAATTCCGGTTCTAGGGACAGACAAAAGATGGTACTTGAGGTTGGTACAAAGTCAGGAGGATGGTCAATCATGAACAAAAAATTATGCTTCAGAACTAAGAATGGCTACGAAAGACCTCAGAAAAGTTCTAGATAAGTTCAGCTTCAAAGAACTTAAATTTGGAGGATGACTAATTTGACTTTTCAGTTGACAATATATAGAGCCTTTTTAATAATACTGCTCCATCATGTACCTTTGATCCAATCCGAAGAGCTCCAGCTTCTAATTTACCACAAGCAGAGACCTGTCCAAGCGTGGGTGACTTGATAACATCACATATTGGCATTAGTAGAGGCTTTGATAATTCTCTAGTTGGAGGTTGGAGCGAATCAATAGCATCTAACAGATAGGGTCCTTTATACCTGTTGAAAATCAAGATAAGCATATATAAGAAGAAAGTCGGGAGAGAGAATGAGGGGCCAATCAATATATGGTGTAAAAAAGCTCAATAATGATGTATACAACATTAACCCTCAACCTCTATTTTTACATGATATAAGAATCTATTAGTCCGATGAAAGAGTAATAGGAAAGTGCAAAAACAGAGGACAAGATATCCTCCTCAAACAAAAGAAAACAACCCAGGCCGTCCAAATTGCTTTCCAATCCCTTCCATAAAGAAACACACAAGGAGGGCTTAAAAGTAATTCTCTCCTGGAAATTTGCCGGATAAAATGTTGATTAAACAGTAGATACTCAAGCATTCTATTCCAATTGTTAACTTCTAATTATGCCAACACTATGACCACACAAAGATCTTACCCATGGTAATGAAATGACTTACCAGGATTTGAAACGAACATCAGAAGGAGATGACACCAAATTTTGATTTTCTATGACACTTAAGGGAATCCATGATATTGAAGAGTCTTTAAAACCACATGTCCGAAGAAACACTCCCAATTGATGTCTAATTAACTCAAACCGATCTTTAGAGTATCCCACAGCATCCATCTTATTTATTGCAACAATAACCTGGCCAACACCAAAACTTCTGATAAGCTGTGCATGCTCCCTTGTTTGTCCTTTGCTACTATCCATGCCTGCTTCATATGCACCAACTGATGCATCAATAACAAGAATTGCAGCATCAGCTTGTGTTGCCCCAGAAATCATGTTTGGAACAAAATCTTTATGGCCCGGGGAGTCAAGCACAACGACATGATATTTCTTAGTGTCAAAATATGCAACAGCAACTGTCATAGTTATTCCCCTTTCCCTTTCTTCAGAACTTTCATCCAGTGCCCAAGCATAGGCAAAGGATCCTTTACCCTGATCAAAAAGGAAAAAGGTGGGGTGACAGAATTAGTGCATGAATACAACACATTAAGTTTTAGAAGCACTATAAAAAAAGAGACTACCTGTAATTTGGACTCCTTTTCATATTTGTGCATTTCTTTTTGAGTAATTCGTCCCAACAAGTGTAATAGTCTACCTGAGAGCGTTGACTTCCCAGAATCAACATGACCAACCTACAATCAACAAATTTAAAAATTTAGAGAAAATACTTAGATTTTTTTTTTTAACTGAACATAGGATAGAAGAAATCATTGGCTTACAACTGCAAGATTCAACTGCGTCAATGTATCTTCATCTTGTTGAGGGAGCACCCATTCTTCTGGTTTGTAAGGCATTTGTGGATGAGATCTTTTAGAAATAGTATTATCTGACTTTCTAGTTCTTACATCAACAGCCATGTTCTCAGAACTACTTTCAGGTCTGACATCTTTGCTAGAAGAGCAATAAATTTCACTACCACTGTCTCCAACTTTCATCAGTGCAGACAAACTATCTGACAATTCTTCACTGGATTGAATGTCAATTTTGCGATCATTGGAAGACTTGATTTCACTCATTTTACCTTTGCCCTTTGCAGAAGATGCTGGCAAGCTGCCTGAAGTTTTATTACTTGTTTTCAGATTAAATGCCACGTCTCTAGAAGGCTTGCTCTCAGCAAAACTATCCTGTCTGCCCTTCTGAACCAAAGATGATGAGTAATCAAAACTTTCACCATTTGACTGCACTTTCAGTTCATTATTCTGTGTAATACTGGATGGAACGCGAGAACTTTTAGCGTCAGTAACTGTGCCTGCAAGCATGATAGAAACAAGGTCAACACATCTTGATGCACAAGGAAGGAACTAAGATTTGAAGTTATCATTTACATGAAACCTACTTTACATTTCCACTCATCATTTTCTCCAAATTTTATTTCTTTTATTTTTTAGGGTGAAAGTCAGAGCGCTAAAATTGCAGCTTAAAGACCCAGATGAAAGAGTTGGTCCACAACAAAATTTCAGGTTCAGGCTGGTTTCTTTTCCTTCTAGAAGAACAACATTGAACAATTTTTATTGCAACAATTAAAAGAAAAAAGAAAAAATTATTTACTACCTTAAAAAGTATCGAATGCAAAATATGATATTAACTCTAAATATGTGATTCCATATGCAGCCACAATTATAAATAACATGTTTACCTATTAGATCTCTTTAAGACCCAATAAGACCACGTTTCTATAACTATCATCCTACCATACTTGCAAAGGATATAGAACACAAACACCTTTAACATCTTCCACAATTTCTAGAAGATGTAGTAAAACTATATTCCAAAAAATATATTAGAAATAACAGTTTTTTTTTTATTGCTCACAGGTGTCTTAATGGAGGCAATCTTGTTCGAGGCACAATTAAGCACTAAACATGAGCACTTTCCCTAATGGGGATTTGAACCTTAGTTCACTATGTTGTGAAGGACTAGTCCCTTTCACTAAACCCAACCCCCTCAATTTGCATCTTAGTGTCTCTAAACTTCAAAGAGCATTGCAGATCATTTTTTATCATTATTTGATATTTAATAAAAAGAATATATTATTAGAAAGTAAGAAAAGAAATATATGTGCAAAGGAAATGATCCCAAGCAGCTCAAAAAACAAGATAAGCAATCTCAACATATCAGATAATCATGGAAGAGTGCCAAAAATCTTCAATGTTATTAAAGAAGAAAATCACACCATTTAAATACAAGCATATTACAACCATCATGTCCGTGATACAATGCTAACACTTTTTGTGATCAACATTAAGCAAAACAAGATAGGCCTTTATAAAATAAAGAGGAATGCAAGGGTGCAAATATCCAAACTATCTTCAACACTTCATTCAGTGTGACTTCCAAGGTTCCACCTCATCTAACTCCCAAAAAATATCAGAAGATAATGCCAGCAGTTTACAATTTTAAAAGAAACTACGATAACAGTTTGTCCATTTACACCACCACAAAAGTTCTCAGAAAAGATTGGGTAAGGTAAACTATGGAGAAGTAATAATGTAAATTTTCATTTTCAAATTAATAGTTACTAGCTCTCATAAATATATATTCAAATCCAATTAAAATATGTTTTCTCTAACTTTAGCTTCTAGGAAAAAAACACAGACACACATGCAAAGAACTGCGTGATACCTTTCAATCCCATTTTGGAAGACTGCAGTCCAGTAGAAACTACATCATCTGGGGATGGAACATCAAACTTGAAAGGGGCTGTGCATCAAGAGAAGTAAAAGTGTAAGGTTTTATCCCCAAAAAATTTAATATGTACGAAGAGTAAGATTAAGTAGCATAAGAAAGTTGGTGCAACCAACAAAACATTTATTGTGACTTCAAAAAATTCTGAACTTAGAATACAGGCTATCATTTCATCAATTTATCATAACAGAAAATCAATTCGTATCAATCAATGAATTTTAAGACTTTACTTCTAGTTAGTATAAAGTGATACTCAAAGCAGAGTAGGAGTTATCCTAAATTCACAAATGCACATCCTAAATCAGACCATGCACAGACCTATGTTTAGATGGTGATGTCTTTGAGTAATAAAAGACTTATGAAATTCATAAAATTCTCCTTGGGCATTCCCAAGCTTGTAGCTATTGCCATCTTCTGTCAGAAAGCCATCATCCTTCTTAAGAAATAACAAGCCCTCTTTGGGCAACGGTTGTGGCAGTGATGCAAAAAGAGACTTGGCCAATTTGGATACTCCAGAATTTTTGCATATGCCTTTAACTGCATCAAAGAGATTGTTCATTATGTTATAGGGATATCATGGTCATTCTTCAAAACCTAACGCACTATGTATTGAGCAATATCCAGAAAGCTGGACACAACCTCTCATTGTTTTGGCTCCCTCCCCCTCCCTCCCTCAACTCTCTCCTTCTCTACCTGTCTTCCCATTATTCTATTTTTCACTGTCAAAAAGAAAAGGCATTGGAAGGATGGTTCTTGTTCCTATTCTTCATGATAATATTTTTGATATTACATGCAACAACAATAGATGAATTAGAAAATTAAAACAAATCTCCAACAGAAACAACAAAATGCAGACTTCAGGAACTCGGTATATTTTTTAACATAAAAGTGAGTTCAATTTGGAAGTGTTACTTCTTTACCTAAGTGAGACAATATACTTGATGGACTACATACGATAGGGAGAATGGTTTTCTATCTGTTTTAGTGTTTTACGAGTTTTGAGACAATATACTTGATATTGCACGCAACAACAATAGATTAATTAGAAAATTAAAGCAGATCTCCAACAGAAACAACAAAATGCAGACTTCAGGAACTCAGTATATTTTTCAACATAAAAGTGAGTTCAATTTGGAAGTGTTACTTCTTTACCTAAGTGAGACAATATACTCGATGGATTACATATGATAGGGAGAACAGTTTTCTAGTTGTTTCAGTGTTTTATGAGTTTTGGACTTTGGGGAATAGAAAGAAGGGTCAGATGCTGCAGATTTACACTCTTTTTGCTGTCCTGCACATCTGAATTCCCCATAATGCAAAAGTTTGGGATGAGATTATAATCTCCTCAGCTTTCATGGACTAGGATTGTTTGGCGAGCTTCTTCAAAGGTTGTCACCACATGGGTCAGTTAAGACAGATCCATTGTTTAATTCAATGGTAATAGGTGAAATACTGAAGTTCTAAGACAGACGGTATTCGTTATATAGGAAACACAAGGAAATCCAAATAATATAAAACTCAATACTATCAGTATTGCAACTAAAAGACAAATATCATTCTCTTATGAAAACAATACTATAGTATAAGAAACCAAAAAAAAAAAAAAGTCCAAATACAAGATGTATAACAGTTTCCAAGTCCAAGATCAATCTCTTCTTCCTTTCTGGAGACTTTATCTTCCACATCATACCTTTCTTTCTTAATAGTTCTGTTAATTTTCTTGATCCCTACATCTCTATAGCATAAATGAATGAGAGAACCATAGTAACACCCCTTTTCAGAACAAAATCAAAGGTAAAAAAATGGGTCAACCTACTTAAAAGCAACTGATTCTGACAATTCTCACAGTCAAAATATATAATAAAAAATCAAAAATGCTCAAGTGATTCAGCTATAATTTCTTTTGCCCTCATCTCAAGAAGTTTAGAGTTCCATTTTTCCTCTATCAAATTTAAATTGCATTTTCTAAACCTGATGATATCTAAAAAAAAATTTGTATGTAGAATAAAGTTTTCAAATTCTGGGTTCCTAGTTATCATAAACAACACCTAATTACAACAACCAGAAACCTATATTTTAAGAGAAAAACAAAATTATTAAGAGAGACCTCTTGCATCCCATTTCAGCAAAGCCTGTCAATGCATGCTTTGTTCCCTCCCCCAAAACGCATGCCACAAGAGAGAGAGAATGCAAAAAGATCCTTGTCACACAAAATACAAACTAAGTTACATCTTGTATTTATTACATTATCATTAAATAACCAGAATACCTGTTTTGTTATTGTCAGAAGCTCCTACGTTAACCAAAGGATGACGCACAACACCACAGATATCACATACATTCATGCCCTCTTCGTTGTCGTAAGTGCAAATAGAGCATCTCCAAAGTCTTTTGGCCTCTTGTTTTTTGTTAGGTTCAGGTCTTTCTCCTGCCACCCAAAGAAAAAAGTGCCAAGTGGTTTGTGCAATGAACAAAACTTACAACATTCCTATATTCCTAAGAAGCTTAGTGACTGATGCAGAGGACAACATATGGATGGGCCAAAATGGGGGGAAAATGCATACATATGGGGGGCTATAATTAATGTTATCATTTTTAACAAAAAAAATAAACCGAAATTATAAGAAAATCTGTAAAATGGTGGGGCAAGCAATATAGATCTAGTTCTTGCCAAAGAAATAATAAATTAAAATGTGATTTTGTTTAAGGAATTGTTTCTTTTGTGTCACTCATTTTAAGTTTAAACATGCTGACACCCACAACATTTTGGACAAGATATAAGAGGTGAAGGCAAACAATTACCAGAAAATGCATTAAAGATCAAAGAAGGTTAATTAAAGATATGAAGAAATCACAAATCCAGAAAACCAACATGCAGAAATGTAAATGAGTAAAATATACTAACCATGTTCTTCTATTTCAACATCATATTCATAGTCTTCATAGTCATCGTAATCATCATCATAATCAAGTTCATAATTCACCTTACGAGGCATGGTCCCAACAAAACTGGGTGAATAAAAGAATTCAGATGATTAGAAACGTAGTGCATGCAAATATTGAAACTAGACTCGTGATAAAACAGAAATACGCTAATATGTGCAAGTATGGTGAAACAAAGCACTCTCTACCTCAATACTCTTCACAAAGATATATTGGTATTAACAGTTATATCTGCAGACTCCAAGCCATATATCAAGAACTCTATTGGAAACGACCAGCCAGCTGACTCTGCCAGCTAAGACTAAGAAATCACAAACATAACTGAACGTCCACACCTATGATTGTATACATGCGAAGTGTGAATTTCCCTCCTTGCTCCGGAATGTATATGCACTATGCAGCTCCTTATCCCACAAAAAAGAAAACTGCAAACCCATAAGTAAAAAAGCAATAAAATAAATTATCCCTGTTTACTGGAGGAGAATTGAACAAATTGCATTCTCTTTGACTAGCTACAATGATACATTCTTAACCACATCATCTAACAGGAAAGAACGGTTAGAGGGAATATCAACATGCCAATATTTTGCAGGCATGGCTTCGGCAACCAAATTAGGAATAAGAGGAAGTTCAACAGGAATTCAAATTTAAGAGGAACTAGCGGATAAATAAACATGGCCCCGCTTGAGACAATCAGGGATTCTAGAGAAAATCAAGCGCAAAATGCAGCAGAGGAAACTCACTGAGAAAAAGAATAAAGCTCACCCTACACGTAACTCCGTGGATCGAGTGAAGAGCTTTCAGAGGGTTTTTCTATATGGCCATGTCTCTCCCGTGCAAAGAAGAGCAATATTTCTGCAGAATCAAAGCCAATGGAAATATGAAGATGTGTGCTTGGAAATTTTAAGGAGACAGAAAGATGACGGACGGGGGATTTGTTTGTTATTTTCAGATATCTCCGTACCGTAGTAGTAATATATTTAAAAAAAATTAAAATTTTAAGAAAATAAATCAAAATATATTTCACTTCACCCATCCATTCGCTGCCCTAAAAAAATTCTTTTAATTATTTATATTCATTTCAACATTAAAATCTCAACAGATATTTAATCGCAAAGAGAAAATGATAAAAAAATATCAAAAAATTTAATTAATTTAAATTAAATTTTAAATTTTAAAAATTGTAAATTCATCTTTTAATTTTTTAATTATATTATGATAAATTTATAATTTATTTTTAAAATTTTAACATAATTAAAATATCGAATTATAAATTCTTAAAAATTTAACATTTAAAATTTAATTTAAATTAATTAATTATTTTAAAATTTTTACGTCATGTTCTCTTAAATAAATAAAGGAGTGAAAAGCTGTTAGCAAAAAAATCATGAGGGATGAAGGTAGGCTTCAGCAAAACCCGTTAGCCCCTAAAACCACGTTGCAGCCGAAGCAGCTCTACCCCTGCTTTTGCGTTTTGCGTTTTGAAATCACAGCCAATATTTTTCAACTTACCTATCCTCTCTGCGAAACACAATTATCCAGGGAGAGGGAGGGTTGCCGTCGAGCGAGAGAGAGGAAGGGTTTCCGTCGAACTTGATTAGCCGGGCGGGAGGGAGGGCTGCCGCCGGCAGGTAGGTAAGAGTGGCACCGACTACAGAGAGGGAATTGTATTACCGAGAGGTGGTTTATGACTTTATGGCCAATACGCTAAATAAAAAAGGAAAAGAAACTCTAGTTAGTGACAAATAATCACAGGAAGAAATATGAAAAAGATAGTATTTGTCAAGAAAACTAGAAAAGGAATTGAAAATAGAAAAGAAAAGAAAGGGCCACCTCAAAATTCGCTCAGATAATTATTGTATGTGTGCGTTCTACCCAAAAAATTGTGTGTGTAGACATCTTTATTGCCGAATCTTTATGTAATCTTCCCAATCCAAATCCATGTACCCGAACCCATTCTATTTTAAAATGTATTTACAATGAAATGAGATATTTTATATGTATAATTATTGATATAAATTTAAATTTGAAATACATAAAATATTTGAATTGTTTTTTTGGGAGTCAAAAGCAATTTGAATTGCTTTTTGTTCATAATTTTTCAGAACATGATATCTTAAGTAATCAATGAATGATATGTATTATATCAAAAAAAAATTCTGTTTAGTTTTAGAGTAAAATACTTTGATCTCCTGTCTACCTTGTTTAAATTATAAAAACCTTATATTTATTTTCAAAATCAATACTTTAATCTAATTTTTAATATTATTAAGAACATCCTGTTATAGATTATATACTTAATTTTTTTATTTTTAATTATGCAGAATATTTAAATTATTAATTTACTCTTATAATCTAATTGTCTATTCTTTTTCTCTCAAATTTAAGGAACCTTCAAAAATTAAATATGACAGTATTTAAATAAAAAATTTAAAATGTCTTACTAGAATTATAAAATTTATATAAAAATTAATAAATTATATTAACTGATTTGACTCTTGTTATATTAAATTTATATTTCATTAATTCTTTCACATACATATTTGAAATGTTATGTTTGCTAACATATTTATTTAATTTTTAAAAATATTAAATAAACCTCTACATAGCTAAAAAAATTTAAAATATAAATTAAAAAGATAAAAATAAATCCATTAATTTTTTGGATAAATTAAATAATTTTTTATGCAACAACTTAAAATAATTTTTAGATAATATTTATATTTAAAAAAGTATTTTGGTTAAACATATGTGATTGAATGATTTATTAACGATTGAATAAATGAAAAAAAATCTTTAAAACAAAAAAAAGGCTTTGATAAAAAAAAAGAAAAAAAGAGGCTTGCATTTAATAACTATTAATTCTAAAAACTTTATATAAGTTTTAAAAATAAAGAGCATGTATTTTTAATTAAAATAAAATAGAGGAGAGGTATTATATTTTCTTCTTACTTTTTACTATACACACTTATTTTCATAACAATATCTATATTTTTTTGCCGAAGATAACAGTATATAAGTTATATATCTAACAATCTAGGAGGAAGCTATGGTTTAAATATTATATATATATATATATATATATTGATCTGACATATATATATTTAGCTCGTATTGGGTTTTTTTATTTTATATTTTCATCTTTTTTTTCTCTGCCCAGTATTTCTTTGATTAAATTTCATGACACGAGACTCAGTTTTTACAAAAGCCATGTAAATTGCTCGAGCCAGCAGTGCATACAGTAACCGAATTTTTAAATTTATCAAGCAAGAAAGTATTTAATACCCGCGTTGCGAGGGATTCTTTTGCCGGGCAAATATAGTAATCGAAAAGGATATTGACGATATTGGCCAAAACAGAAAGGGATATTAACTGTTATCTAACGAAAACAAAAGAAAAAGATATTAACGATAAATCACCCCGAAGCATCGTATTTACTATTTATCTTAAATTATATATTATGCATTTTGATATATTTTTAAAATTTAAATTTAAATTTAAATTTTGGAGTATAATGAGTAATTATCCATTATTTATTTATCAAATCTATATCTATAATCTAATTATCAAATGAGGATAATGACAAATCGGATTGTAGCATCAGATTTGTCTATAAAAGGATGGTATCACCCTCTAAGCGTTACTCACAATCAATCAAGCCCCAGTAGTAGAACGAATGATGCAGTCGATGGAAAGATTGCTTCGTGTTTTGATCTTTAAACCGATAGCGTTGGTCCAGATGTTCTCTCGCCGTTCTGGTTTTTCCTGCGATGGCCTCGGCGGCGACGTTCGAAGCCGGCAAGATTGGCACGACTTGACCTACAATCCTTCCAGTCACGTATAACGCAAGGTATTTCAACTATCGAAGCCTTTCCGAATTTGGAACTCTTAATTAATCTGTTGGTTTGTGGTTTTTCGCCTTATGGAAATATGATTTTTCTTTTAGGCTATCGGATCTTGATGGCTGACTCTCGTGTTCTTGGACATATCAGAGCCGTACGTCATCGACGATTAATGTCATTTATCGGAGGTGTTATTAGCATAGTCGAAGGGACGAGTTTACAAAAATCTTGTTTGTGAAATTGATAGTTGGAGATTTCAGAGGATCGTGGGAGAGAAGTTACAGTGAAGACGAGGTGTTTGTTATATGGTCTTAAACTTAATTTATTGATTGGAGACCTTTGCCATGACGGGTGCGCTTGCATGGCAGGTCAAACACTACTTAATAAAATTTCTTTTTCTGGTGGTGGAGGGGAAGATGCTACGGCCGGTTTTTGTTCTTTGTTTTTGCCCCGGCCGGCTCTTCCCCTTGGGGTGCGTGTGTGTGTCTCTCTTCTTCCTTCTCCTCTTCGATTTTTTTTTTTTTTTCGGCGCATCTTCTTTTTTACATAGTATAATTTTCCAGCGACTCGTTTCAAGATGAAAGCACGAAACAATGCACCAAAAATCATATTCGACAGCAGCCAATCAGCTCCAAAACCGCACGATACATACCTGGTAGCGAACCGATTGACGAGCATATGTGTCAAGTCCGACCTCAACAGTTGGAACGTGAGAAATAAGGCATAAGATTTGCAATATGGCGTATAATGTGGGGCACAGCCGCGCGGCACCAAGATAAAACTATCCAAAACCGTAAAAAAGGCACACAATACTGAACAGTTTCGTTATGGCACGTCTTTGTTAAATTTTCTCTCAATAAGTCAATAATATTGATATAATTTTCATGCGTCTACTGAATGCCTAACACGGGACCTTTTTTTTTTTTTTCCTTGTTTCTTTTCTCTAGAGAAACTTTAGTGATTCTTGTGTCTCCACTTTCAGTTGCTGTAAGTTCAATATTTGCTTCCGAGTTTTTGTAATGTAAAAGAATGCTGATAAATAACACATATTCCCTGTGCCTTCCTTTTTCTTGTAGTTAACTATGTTTTTTTCCCCTACGATACAATTATTATAGTTATTTGTTGTGTCTGATTTATCTGCTGCTTCAAATTTTAAAATCCAGATGTGTGGGTAATGGCTTGGTTGGGCAAGCCTTGTGTGGCTTAAGCGTGCCTGGGGCCTTGGAGCTTATTCATTTGATGATCAGACTTTTGACGGAGGTTTTGAGTGTTACGAATGGCAATTGAGAGCTAAGATTTTTTAGTGAAATCCTTTTTTCCACATCCCTTGCATGTTTCGAGTGAGTTCTCCACGAGAAGTTGTTTTGGGCTCAGGCTTTACTAGATGTATATTTGTTCTTCTAAGCTTTGCCATATAGGGTGTATTTGGAATAAAACTAACCTCAACTGGAATTAGGAATGAATTAGGTTTAATTTGCCAACATCATTTTTGTTTGAATACTTTTTTTTTAGAAATCGGTTAAACAAACTTTTTATATGTATAATCACAAAAAGGACATGAATTTTATGATATATATATATATATATATGACTCATTTGAATTTTTTAAAAAAATAATAAACTTTAAATTACAATCTTTTTTAAAAAATTCAATTTGATAAATTGAAATTTTTCAGATAGTATAATTAAAAAACATGTTTAGATATTAATGACTAAAAAAAGAATATGATTTTTCTTTATTTGTTCTAGATATTTTATATTCTTTCTTATCTTCTTAAATTTCACATACATTCTAAATATTTTATATTTTAAATTCTAAATTTCATAGAATGTAAGTAGTTTATCCAAATTGAGTGATATTTGATTTGTTGAATGAATATATTTATATATTATAATTATAATTATCTTATAATATTATAATTTAGGATAGAATATTTAGACGTAGATAAATTATTGTAATAATATAATTATATTTATATTATAATATACTTGTATTTATAATTAAGGGTAAAATTCATGTACTTAACCTTGTATACTTAATATAATTAGATCCAATCAAATCATAATAAATAGATTTTAATGAGTTAATAAA